CACAGCACAGAACACAGCAGGGCAGGCGCGTGCCTACATCCAGGTGTTTACCACAACATCTTTTCTCCTCAACTCTGCACATACACACAAGTATAGAAAACAATGTCTCAAACCTCCATGAACACACCATTCAGGCTTCACCATCACTGGCAGCCCCACCTCGCATCCCTCCCTCAGGATCACCACCATTCACTATGCAGAACAAAACCCGGTGTCTTCTATTCTGTTCCAAGCTGGTTCATATTTTTAGAAAATGTTAGTTGTGACCCACTCGTGATGGTTAATTTTATGTGTCAACTTGACTGGGCCACAAGGTGCCCATGTGTCTGGTTAAACACCGTTTCTAGATAGTCTGAGAGGTGTTTCTGGAAGCGGTCAGCACTGGAATCAGACTGAGTAAAGCGGATGGTCCTCCTCAGTGCGGGTGGGCAGCGTCCACTCCAGTGACGGCCTGCAGAGAATGAAACGGCCGAGGAGGGGTGAATTCACTCTGTGCCTGCTTGCCTGGGACACTGGTCCTCTTCACCCTCCAGGCTTCTGGTTCTCAGGCCTTTCGGCCTGGACTGGAGTCTGCACCAGGCCTTTGCACGACAACACTGGCTTTCCTGGGTCTCCAGCTTACAGACGGCGACTGTGGGACTTCCCAGATGCCATATCACGCAAGCTAATACCTTATATCAGTCAATCAATCAATCTATCGATACATAAACTCTAAGATAAATTGATCCTGTTGATTCTGCTTTCGAGAGAACTGACTCATACGTCACTGAATCCATTTCATGGCCTGCTAAGGTAGGTCCGGAGTGGAATTTCCAGGCCACAGGGGATCCACATTCCAACCTTACCGGATAGCACCTATTTGATCTCAGAGGGGTTTGACCACTTTTCCCTTGATAAACAGGACATTAAGACCCCTTCCCTTCACACTCTTGACAACTCTTCGATTCTCAAGCTCTCTAATTTGCCAACATCTGAGTATGAAGTGGTATCTCATGGTCCCCCTGGCAGTTCCCTGATTAGGAGCCAGGCAGAGTCCATTGGTCTATCCGACGCTCGCGTTTCTTTTCCTTAATACTATTTGCTCATTTTTCAATTCTATTGCCCTTTTAAAATTAAGTTGAAAGAGTTCTTGATACAAACAGAATACCAATCTTTAGAGTAAATTCATCATGAGTATTAATTCCAGCCTGTAGTTCTCCTGACGAAGTTGCTAATACTGATGTGTTAATCCTTCTTTCCTTTTATGATATGTGTGTGTTTCCCACCTCAAGAGCAGATTCTTCTATGTATTTTAACAATTTGTCTTCACATTCAGGCCTTTAATTTTTTTTTTTTTTTTTTTTTTTTGAGACGGAGCCTTGCTTTGACACCCAGGCTAGAGTGCAGTGGCGCAATCTCAGTTCACTGCAACCTCTGCCCCTACCAGGTTCAAGCAATTTTCCTGCCTCCGCCTCCTAAGTAGCTGGGATTACAGGCGCCCACTACACGCCTGCTTCATTTTTTGTATTTTTAGAAGAGACAGGGTTTCTCCATGTTGGCCGGGTTGGTCTCAAACTCCCAACTTCAGGTGATCCCCCACCTTGGCCTCCCAAAGTGCTGGGATTACAGGTATGAGCCACCACACCCGGCCTAGGCCTTTAATTCTATGGCCATTTACCGGTACGTATGCTGTGAGGTAGGGTTTCCCTTTTCCTGTGTGGCCAGCCAGCTGTCCTGCATCCGTTATTTCCCATCTGGTCCATATCCCTACCACCTCCTGGCTTCCTGTACATATGAGAGCTGGCTCCTAGCCTCGCTACCCTGTCCCAGCCATTGCCCTGTCTCTCCCTGCACCATCGTCACACAATCTTCATCATCCTGGCTCTCCATCAGGAACCTCACTGCCTAGGTCTCCTGGCCTCCTCCGTTAGTGCTCTGGCTTTGTTTTCTCTTCATGCCTGGCAGCTGGGAATTTCCAAGCCTTTCTTTGGATCTTGTATTTTCAAAACAATTTGGTTGGATTTTGCATAGCATTTATATGCGTCTATACTGGGGCACATGCTAGTATCACATCAGCCAGTCATTCTCAGGACACGATGTCTTCTAACTTAACGTATGTTCTGAGACTCGCCATGATTTAAATGCAACTTATTAATCTTTTCAGTGTTCCTTCAGGATCATCACTGAATTTATATATTTCATTATTCACACACTTTATAGATCAAGGGCCTATAGGATGAATATCATAGGATAGTGAGGCCTAGAATTGAAGAGGAGGAGGGAGGAGGGGGAGGGGGAAGGGGGACGGGGAGAGGGGGACAGAGGAGGGAGGGAGAAGGGAGGAAGAGGAGGGAGGAGGGAGGAGGAGGAGGGAGGAGGGAGGAGGAGGAGGAGGAGGGAGGAGGAGAAGGAGGAGAGCCTCCAACTTTTCTTGTAAGTGGAAGCACATTCACAAATTCTCCTATGAAAAGACATCAGGCACACCAAGGGTATTAGTATTCTGAAGCTACAGAATAATTCCATTTGCAGTAGAAAAATAAATAAACCCAGGCCCTTTCTTCTCTCTACAGATCTCACAGAGACTATTCTGGCATAATTGGCATTTAAAAATATCCATCTCCTTGCCGCCTTTCTGTCTGAGAAGGAATATGCTTTTCTGCTGGGAAGCTGCAGAGAACTGTGATGAGTATATTCACTTACATGATAGGCCTATTACACTGCAGATGGGTGAGAGCAATCGGGAAGACAGCCCAGCATCTTGTCTACTGCAATTGATTTTGATTGTCTAATAGTATTTCAGGAGACATAAAAATGCCAGTAGGTCTTTTCTAGGCTCAGAAGAAAAAAAATACCTTATACCTTAGAGGCATAAATAGAACCACCTTATGACTCTCTCAGAATGTAATGACAACCCAGATTCCATCTGGAAAATGTCAAGAAGCCATTTTCACAGTAGACAGTCTCTAGAGGGTGGATGGGCTGAGGCAGCTGCTTAACCCTGGGATCCCAGAAGATTGGAATTTCATGGAATCGTGGGCTGCGTCCCCATAAGTAACATCTCCCTTCATAAGCTGTCCTCACTGCTGGTGACAATCAAAATCTCCAACACTTTCAGGGCTAAGAGTGGATGATACATCTGATGTCATTATGGCTGACGTATGTTTACAATGGTTAAGTAGAAAGTTAAACAGAGCAGGAAAGGCCTTTTGAGAGCATAAAAGTACATTCACAAACTCTGAAAACTGACAACTCAGTTCAGTAAACACTCCAGCTTATATCCAGACCCATTAGGAATCACACAGCTAGCCGTGTGTGGTGGCTCAGGCCTGTAATCCCAGCACTTTGGGAGGCGGGCAGATTACCTGAGGTCAGGAGTTCAAGACCAGCCTGACCAACATGGAGAAACCCCATCTCTACTAAAAATATAAAAACTTAGCCGGTCGTGGTGGTGCATGCCTGTAGTCCCAGCTACTCGGAAGGCTGAGGCAGGAGAATCACTTGAACCTGGGAGGCGGAGTTTGCGGTGAGCTAAGATCGTGCCATTGCACTGCAGCCTGGGCAACAAGAGTGAAACTCCATCTTAGGAGAAAAAAAAAAAAGAATCACGCAGCTCCTCTACGTTTCACCCTGTTTCATGGATGAGGGCTGATTGTCCTACATCTCTTAAATGCCTTGTGAATGTGCCCCCTCCACAGAAAGCCACCATAGAATTCACCTAGGATATTTGTGACAAAAATGCTCCCCACTGGAAGCAAGGGAATTCCAACCTCGCATGCAGAACGGGGATGGTGAGTGGCTACCACGATGTGGGGAAGGCTGCGGAGCAGAAAGGGAAATCCATAAAGCCCGCTGCTTCACAAGTAATGGCTCTCTAGGTCGCTTCAGACAGCCAGACCTATAGCCTTGTGCTGCCCTGGAACAAACACCGTGATTCTGAACTGAGTCTTCACACTCCAGAATCCCATCCTCACCGCTGCTGGTCTTCATCCATCCCCTCACAACAGGCACAGAGCTTCCCCACTGGGACACACAAAGTGTTCCTCGCCTTGGGAGGGGAGGGGGTCCCAAGGCCACTGATGCCTTGCCTGTGACACTTTAAACTGCCGCCCCGTCCCAGCCTAGCACATGCTCCTTCCCAAGGATATATAAGAACCCCCAGAATCCATCAGAAGCTCAAGGCTGCTCTGGGCGTCAGGACGCGAACACCATCCCCAGCAACTCTGCTCCTCGATCTCCAAACACACCCCACCCCATACATCAGCTTCGCTACGACCACGCCATCCTGTGTGTTTCTGGCCACAGAAGAGGACCAATTCATGTGCAGTGCAGAACCTGTCCCTTGCAAGCCTCCCACGTGTGGAGCACTCACTGGCACCAGGCTCTGCTCCTGCCAGTCCTGCAGGGCAAGGGCGAGGCAGATGCTGACCGTGGGGTGGTGCGATGGGGGCCACAGTACTGCCACGCTCTATCCCTGGAAGCTGAGGAGGCCTTTTTTTTTAATCAAAGTCAGATTTCTTCTGCTCGGCTTCCTGGTATCTCACAAAGGCTGGCCACTTCTCAAGCAGACCACGCATTCCCCACAGCGGGGAGCAGAAAGTTCGAGTGGTACCTATTGTTGCCGATAGACATGTGCCTACTTTCGTTCTGACTAGGCACCTAGGTAGGGGTGACACTAATCAGTGACTGAGTCTGGTGAAGACCATGGTTTACAGAAAGACCAGGGTGATGAGGAAGGGACCGACGGGGAGTGCTTGTCCTGCTGTTGTCATTGGCTGGCGGGCAAGTCGGGTCCAGGCAAGGTAAGGGCCGGCAGCGTGCCCGGCGTCCGTCCACTCCCTGACTGTGACTCAAACCCCAGCTTCACACTCCCCGACTCACTCACAGAGGATCCCAGAAAACAAAGAACCGTGGCAGCTGCCAGTTCTGCCTGCAGCAAAGCGTTTTCCCTGCAGCGAAACGTCCGCTCCCCACCCGGCAAAAGCAAAACCTCACTCGGTGCAACGCCGCCTCGGATTTCTTACCGAAAATGAGTGGTTTGGTAACGTCCCGAAAAATCTCCCAGTGATCCAATCTTTCTGGAATAAAGCAGAAGAAAACAGAGGAAATTACTTTCGTTTCAGCAATGAAACAGGTGCCCACACAGAGCTCCTTCAAGTATAAAAATGTAAATATGAGGCTTTGACTCACCTGTAAAAGTGAATACATTATAATTCTAATGAGATGATCAGAAATTACCCTAAACAAATAATTAAAATGTTTCTCTAGCCATTCACCGCATAATTATTGCCTTAAGAACAACGTGCTGGGCAAATAAAGCGATGGCTTATGTACCATTCTGAAAGGAGAGACTCTGAATTTTAATGAGGTTCCTCAAAGCCCTCATGAATATGTATTCTCCCATAACAAAGCTTGACCCCAAGCAGAGCTGGTGCTTCATGACACTTTCAGACTGTGGAGGGTGTGCATATGGAGGTGGGTGGGAGTGGAGAGGGATGAAAATGAAGGGGAGGAAGAAGGATCACCTCTCCCTTCCAATGCCCAGGGTCTCAGCCCACCTTCTCCTGGGCAAGACGGTTTCATGAAAAGAATGAGAAAGAGGCCACCAGGTCTCAGACTTCCCCAAACAGAGGAAGCTCTGCACAGAAGGCTGAAGAGGAAGCTACTGCCAGCAGACTCAGGGGCTTCAAGGCCGGGCCCTTGGGTTGGATCAGGAATTCAGGGCAAGGGCAATAGAAGGCTACAGGCAGGAAGCCAGGGGTGGAACAGAAGGAGAGGCATTCATTTGCCTGCAACATCACATCTGAATTCCGCTTCTTCCTCCATGTTCCTACAGACAGCGAAAGTTACAAAGGGCTTTCTGTGTTCCTTTCAAAAAGGACAGCAAGAGAGCCTCCTCCTGGGGGCGTCAGCTGTTGGGCTGGACCAGGCTGGGAGCGCTTCACACATCGCTGCACTGCTGGACAGCACACCTGCAATGTGGTCCTGGGGGCTGCGGTCGTAGGGGACAGCCCTGTCCACTCGGGAAGGAAACAGGACACAGACAGACAGTGGCTTCAACTTCATCACAGAGGTTTAGTCTGCATGCAGCGTCTTCACTTCCCAGGCACACACTCCTAGCAGAGGGTTATAATTACGGAATTTCTTCCACCCAGAATGGCCCAGGGCAGCCACCTCTGGTCCCCATGCAAAGGACATGACCCGACGTCTCTGAGGAGGCTGAAGCTGTTTCCATGTCGAACAAGGTACCGTTAAGAGAACTACAGAGTGACCTGCTTGCCTCTGCTCTGGGGAAACTGGCCGTTTGCATGGTGGTTCCATTTCTTCCCCAGGGTATGGTGCTTATGTGGCCGTCTAGGGCCTGCTCTGTGAGGCCACGTGGTGATTCACAGATCGCAGCCCTTTGCAAGGAGGCTTGATCACACCCAAAGTGAGCACCACACATAAAGCACGTCAACCACACATGCCTCCCACAGTGGAGTCAGCGGGGGCTGCTTGCTTCCTGCGTGAACATCAGCAAACCCCTTTGCACCATCTCCATCAGTTTCACCGTGTGTAATTACCGCACAGTAAGAACGACTTCAAAGGTGGCTGGGAAGGTGGAGCGCAAGGAAACCTCTAGAATGTTGCCTGGAAGCACATTAGCATCGAACAGTATTCCCTTCCTCACTCCTAAGCTCACCATCTGTGGTCTTCCAAAAATAAGTAATTTCTGGGTAAGTGCATGAGCTAAAGGTTAGTCCAGCAGCAAGAGCCTGGCACTGGGAGTCCGGGGATGTGGCCTCAATTCCTCACTCAGTTACATTTAGCTCTGGGACCCCAAGCAGATCAGTGAGAAAGGCCTGCCAGCCCCCGTCAGCTCCAAGCACCCCAAACCCCAGCTCTGGGCAGCCGTAACTGGACCAAGAAGGGTGGCGGGGAAGAGCCGAGCGGCCTAAGCTCACCTGCATGGGCCCAAATTCTCCCCAGAAGCCCACCACGTCCTCCCTGCCCCTCCTGGCCCATCTGGCCCACAAAACCCCCTGCACCACCCCAATCTACCATAGGCCTTGGGAGGTCCCTCTCTGCCCTGGAGTCCAGCTTGTCCCACTTGGCTCCTGGCCCAGAAGCACCTTGGCGAACCCGGAGCTGTGTCAGGATGGCTTCCTGGCCTTGAGAGGCCAGCCCACCGCCCACCGCCTCCTTCCCGGAGTCTGCAAGTCTCCAGAAAGGCCGGAGCTCATCCACCTGCATCCCCAGCAGCCCCACAGGCTTCACACTGACTCCCAACAAAGGCACAGAACCATCGCACCACCCGGGAGCAACAGCAGCCCCGCACCTTACGTAAGGCCTTTCCATAAGAGGAAGCAGCCGCGTCTCCACTCCATTTAGAACGGGCTTGGAGTGTCTATTTATAGACATCACACACACTCAGCCTTCGCGGAGGATGGAGGAATCAGGCCTCTGGGTCCCCGTCCACCATCCTCATTTGCATTCTTTTCATGTTTCTCTTCTCTCATTTCCCGGCAGCATCTTTGTTCAGAAGCCAAGTCACCTACCACTTGGACCCAGTACCGCTTTTCATTTTCTCCAGATAAAAACATTCCGTTTCTTTTCCATGCAGGAGCACCCTGTCCTCGCCCTCTCCAGGGCCCCTGGCTTGCATTCACTGAAGCATGGCTGTGTGATTGGAGTGACCTCAAAGGGGAGTCACAGAGGGCTCCCCTGAAAGTCATGCCCACCAAGTCACAAGAGCCGGCAAGGCCCTGGGGGCAGCTGGCTGTGAGTCACCACTGACCCAGGCACATGTCGGGGGCGGGCTCCATCCCAGCAGCAAGAACGAGACAGAGGATGAAACGCTGCCTGGAAACCCCTGGCTTCTCCCCCTGCCTGGCCATTCCTGCATCCGCCAAGCACATCACTCCATCCTCTTCCTGCTCCTCCTGGGACGGGACCAGGCCACTTCCCCAGTCCCCCTCGGCCACTTGTGATCAAATAAAAAGGCCAGGGCCTGCTCTTCCATCACCGTTTTGGAAACAACTGAAACCTGCTCAATCTTCAGATTATACATTAAGTACACAGGTCTCCCCATGAGGTCAAAACACTCTGCTCTCCACGTCTGTCCATTCATAGGCCTTTATTTTTGTTTCAAGGCTACGGAGCTGGTTGATTCTGCAGCCCTGAATCCCAGAGGGACACGCAAAGGAGCTCCCTCCTTCTCCAGGGGACAGGGCGTCCCTGAGCCCCCACCCTGGGAGCCAGTTCAGAAGGACAGAGGCAGGCCTTGCCTAGAGCCCAGAACCCACAGCAGAACTCGGCCATAGAGAACATGTCCAGTACACAGCCCTCAGATGCCCAACTTCAAACAGCACGCATGAGGTTCACTTCTCTCATGAATATTTTGCTGAGGCTGTTGGCATTTGGTTTCAGAACTAATTAATTTTCTCACAGGATACCACTTCAGCTGCCATCACAGGTTCTGTATTATTCTATGTGCAAATTTCTGGCCATAAATTGGACTTGGGATCTAACAGAGCCTTTGAAATGCCACGTTTTCAGGGACTCTGGAGTGAGCAGAAATACTAAATATTCCTGAGACGACGATTCATACATTTCCTTATTACCTTTGATTATTATGTCACAGGAGTCGGGGGTGGGGGCGGGGTCTGAGATCCAGAAGCGTTCCTCAGGGCCCCAAGGTAACCCAAATTGTTGGGGAGGGAGCCAGAGACAGGAAGCCACTTAGATTAAGAGAACCTTCACAGACCCCCAGTAGGAAAGCTCATCTGAGCATCCCCTCCAAAGCAGTGGATACTGGCCCTGGAGCCAGGTAGGCACATGGGTGGAGGAATGGGTGAAGGAACCCATCTCCCTAAGCATTTTCCTTTTTTTTTTTTTTTTTAGACGGAGTCTCGCTCTGTCGCCAGGCTGGAGTGCACAATCTCAGTTCACTGCAACCTCTGCCTCATGGGTTCAAGCAATTCTCCTGCCTCAGCCTCCCAAGTAGCTTGGACTACAGATGCGTGCCACCACGCCTGGCTAATTTTTTTTTTTTTTTTTTTTGTATTTTTAGTAGAGACTGGGTTTCACCATGTTGACCAGGATAGTCTCAATCTCCTGACCTTGTGATCTGCCGGCCTCGGCCTCCCAAAGTGCTGGAATTACAGGCGTGAGCCACCGCGCCTGGCCTCCCTAAGCATTTTCTTAGCAAAGCTAAGGCAACAGTCACAACATCACAGACTCCCAGACCTGGCAGTTGTCCCAGGAAGACACACTCATACTCCTTCCTCTCGCTGGCCCCAGAGCTACGGCTGCACTTCCTAGAGTGAAATGGGGCTGGCACTGGGCACACAGGTCTGGCAATATGCTATACTATGCCTCTGCTACAGAGCACGTGGGATCCGGTGAGCAGTAATAACCCGAAGGCAGTGACACACGTGTTAGCAGGAGGCTCAGGCCACACTGAGCAGAGGCCCCGGGAGGGGTTGAAAGGGGTCTGTGCAGAACATCATGGTCAGAAGGATGGGGGAAGCATGAGGGTACATCGAAGGCAGAACGTCACCCCAGTGCCAGCTTGACCCGGCTCCTCCTGGTACCAGGCTAACGGCTGAAGCCGGCACCAAAAGGCAGGTACTCCCAGGAGTGTCAGCACCGTTTTATGAGGGAAAGCTTGGAATGGGGGTACACATTTGTGCGGCTTTGGTGGGCCAGCTGGGCTGCCAGTGAACTCACCGGCACGGGGCGGCCTCACAGTGGGGCTGGGCGGCTGGCAGAGCTCAGCATCTGGCAGGTGAGCTCCGCCACAAGGAGGCCACCTGCAGCCCAGCCCTGCAGCTCAGCCACGCTGCCCCAAGAGGGATGCAGTGAGATGGATGGCAGTGTCCCCACAGCTGTGGCTGGAAACCCAGAACATCCAGGATGAGACTGGGGACACAGGAGACAGATGCACCCCCAGACGAGGAGAGACTTTTTCCTGATAGGACACACAGGGATGGTGCTGAGACAGGCAGAGCAAGGCCCTTCCAGGACAAGGAATGGAAATGGAGCCCCAGGAACTGCTCCAAGAACTGGCCCAAACCAGTGACAGTGGGGAGGGAGG